CCTATGGCTTCAATGACATTTGAAGAGGTAATTAACCAAATTTTGGCAAATGAAAATACAGATTATAGACACAATCAAAATAGGTCCTTTCTTTTTTTTTTTTTTCTGTTATGGGTAAACTTTTAAGAAAATAGTGAAAGGTTGATAAATTCTTAAAGGGGATGGGAATTGGTGTGGTGCAGAAGAAAGTTTATATTCCTGGCACAAGACTGGATAGACTCTATATTTAACTGTTGCTCTTTTCATCATTTACCCCAGAGATTCTCAAAGTGTGGGCTAGAGACTCCCGGGGGCCCCCAAGATCATTTCAGGGGATCTCTAAGGTCAAAATTATTTTCATAATAACACTGACACTTTTTTTCCTTTTTCTTTCTCATTCTTTTGTCACTGTATAGTCAAGTTTTCCAGAAAATGCATGACAAATAATATTGCATTAGATTGTGTGCAAAAGCAGGTATGAGAATCAGGTTGTCTTTTATTAAGACAGACTTTGAAGAGTTTCATAACACTAATTTTAAAAATAACAATAATAAAACGTAGCATGCATAGTTTTATTATTGCTATTGTCATTGAAGTAAACAATTTTAAAATTGTCTCAGTTAAGTTCTAATGCGGTAAATGTAAATATAAATAACCTACATAACCAAGAGGTATTTGGGGTCTTCAGGGTAAATGAGATCTGAGATGAAATAGTTTCAGAAACTCTGATTTAGGATAACTATTTCATTCAAAACCATAGGCTACAGGTTGAATTATGTAATTAATTAAGGAGGTCATTCTACAGTATTTATCTTAGAAAAAAATTCATAAAAGGAGGTGATACTAGAGTAGGGTTGATCCCTAATCCAATGTGACTGGTATCCTTACAAAAAACAAAAACAAAACCCAAACAACACCATATGAAAAAACAGACATCTACAGATTGAAGATATATGCTGCCATAAGCCAAGGAACTGCCAGAAGCTAGGGGGGAGTCCTGGTACAGAACCTGTCTTAGAGTCTTCAAAAGGAGCACAGCCTTGCTGACACCTTGATTTTGGACTTCTAGCTTCCAGAACACTGATAAAATATACCATATTTCTGTTGTTCTAAGCCACTCGGTGTATGGCATTTTGTTATGGTAGCCCTAGCAAACTACTATACTATAAGTTTAATATTTAGATAAAAACCAATGCTCCCCAAGTCTGTATGTCTACTTCAGACCTCTTTCTTAAATTGTATATTCACATATGCAATGACTTCTTAGACATTTTCCATCAGAAAAACTAATCATGATCAAAATGATACTAATCATTTCAAACCTCCTAACCAAATCTGCTCTATTTCTGAAATTTCTTTCTCTATGCAGGGGACCACCTTCCTTAATGCCTCTCTCCGTTGATTCACACATTCAATTAACCACCAGAGTCTATTAGTTCTTACTTTTAAAAATCCTCTTGTGGTGGTTCATTTATGTGTCAACCTGGCTGGGGCACACTGCCCAGATGTTTGGTCAAAGATCATTCTGGATGTTTCTCTAACAGTGTTTTTAGATGAGATTAACCTTCAAGTCAATGATCTTTGAGTAAAATAGTTTGTACTCTATAATGTGAGTGGGCCTCATCCAATCAGTTGAAGGCCAAAAGACAACAAAAAGACTGATTTCCTCTAAGCACAAGGGAATTCTGCAGCAGATGGTTTTCAGACTTGAACTACAATAATGGCTCTCCCCTGGGTCTCCAGCCTGCCATCCTACCCTGCAGATTTTAAACTTGCCAGTCTCTATAATCACTTGAGCCAATTCCTTAAAATTAATCTGTATGTATATATGTGTGTGTGTGTATACACATTCTGGTGGTTCTATTTCTCAAGGGAATACTGACTAATACATTTTCTTTTCTTTTGTACTAATGCATACCTTACTGTTCACTTTTCTAAACAGTCATGGCCTTAGTTCAGGCCATTATCATTTCTTGTCAAGACCATGATATTATCTGCATAAACCCTATTGTCTTGAGCCTTCCCCCTTCAAATCCATTCTTTCTGTTTCTGTCCCATGACCTTTCTAAGAGATAAGAGTATGTACATCACTTTCCAATTTATAAACATTCATAGCCTTCCCATAATTTTCAGGGTAAGAGGCTCAGCATAGCACAGAAATACCCTCATAATCTGTCCCTTACTCCCTCTTCCAGGTCTTCTTTCACTACTCCTTTGCACACAAGGGAGCTAACTTTCAGCACTTCTTTGTTAACTTTGCTTTTTATTTTTATTTTTTGAGACAGAATCTCAAGCTGTCACCCTGGGTAGAGTGCTGTGGTGTCACAGCTCACAGCAACCTCAAACTCTTGGGCTTAAGCAATTCTCTTGTCTCAGCCTCCCAAGTAACTGGGAATATAGGGTACCTGCCACAACACCCAGCTATTTTTTGATTGCAGCTGTCATCATTGCTTGGCAGGCCCTGGCTGGATTTGAACCCACCAGCTGTGGTGCATGTGGCTGGCACCCCAGCCCCTTGAGCTACTTCACCTTTTAAATAGCTTCCTACATACATATTGTTATGCTATTCTCTTTACCTCCTGAGTGACCTTCGCTCAAGGCCAGTTCTCTTCATCCTAATTATGACATTTATTTGCCAAATTATATGACTATGTTTTAACTCAGTTGTTTATCTAATTTTACTTTTAAATTAAAATTATATTTGTTTAATATAATTATCTTAAAATTATATTTGTTTCCTGGGTAGAAGAGATAAACTATAGTCAATGCTGGAAAGTTTTTATATATTTTAAAAGTATAAAGAATAAACTTAATGGCATAGATATTATTTTAGAAGATTAGCCATTAAAAAAAGATTAGCCATTAAAAGACATTACTACAGAATAATAGATAATGATTAATACGCTTAATAATTGTAATAAGAAACACACTATAATAATTAATTCTAGGCTCGGTGCCTATAAGCTGAGGGGCTAGAGTGTCAGCCACATACACCAGGGCTGGTGGGTTAGAACCTGGCCTGGGTCTGCCAAACAATAACAATTACAAAAAAAAAAAAATAGTTGGGTGTTGTGGCAGGCACCTGTAGTCCCAGAAACTTGGGAAGCTGAGGCAAGAGAATCACTTAAGCCCAAGAGTTTGGGGTTGCTGTGAGCTGTGATGCCACAGCACTCTACTGAGGGTGACATAGTGAGACTCTGTTTCAATAATAATAATAATAATAATTAACTCCAGTTATAGGCTGCCAGGGTTTAAATCTTGGTTGTACTTCTTACTATCTTTTAAACTTGGGCAAGTTACTTAACTACATTGTACTTCAGTTTCCTCATTTTGAAATGAGAGAGTAGTATTTTCTAATACGGTTTTACAGGATTAAATAGGTTCATTAAATGTAAAACTCCTAGAATAGTTATTGATACACAGTAAGTGTTACATGTTAGTTGTTGTTACTATTGTTATTAATATAATTTTCTCTTCACAGTGGCATGGGTAAGTGCAAAGATCCTATAGTCAGACTACTTAGATGTCCTTTTTTTTTGAGACAGAATTTCACTCTATCTCCCTTGGTAGAGTATCATGGTGTCATCATAACTCACAGCAACCTCAAAATCCTGGGCTTAAGCGATCCTCCTGTCTCAGTTTTTCTCTTTTTACTATCGACACAGTCTCGTTCTTGCTCAGCCTACTCTCCAACTCCTAAGTTCAAGCAATCCTGCCTGGGCCTGCAGAGTGCTAGGATTATAGATGTGAGCCACTGTACCCAGCCAACTACTTGGATTCTAATCATCTTAATGCTAACACTTCATATGTGTGTGATCTTGGGCAACTTTTTAAATTTCTATGGGCCTTACTGTTCAGTCTGTAAAATGAGACAACAATAGTGCCTATTTCACAGAGATCTTGTAAGGATTGACTTACAATAGGCAAAAATCTTAGAACAGTGCTTGGCATATGAATGCTATTGTAAACTATTTACGATTTTTATTACTATCTTCAGTAATAGGTGGTCCATATTAATCATATTACCCTCTATCTTGTTCAGATTGAGTTTTCTTTTGTTATTAACTCCTCTAATGCTGAAGTGGCCAAGACTATGCTTTCTCATTCTTAAATTTTCAGTGTATAGATATCGAACACCAATCACTTTCTCTTTTGCTCTCTCTTCTTCAAAAACCAAACCAAGTCAACAGAAATCAAGGAGTCCATCTATAATATAAAGTCATTTTGATAACCAAGAAAATAACTTATCTTATACAATGTAGACATACTAGCATTTTGTACTTAGGCTCATAGCTGAGCAAGACGCCGCTCCCTATTTATTTAACCTGTAATAGTGCTGTCAATATCTATTAAGACTCGAAATGTTAAAGCTCCCAAGGAGGACTGTTAATTGTTTTTGTTTTTCCCCAACTCCCCATACCAATATTTCACTTTTCATGTCACCCTATTCCCTCATCACTGTCTCATCCAGTGCATAATATCTATCATAAAATAAATGAGGAGAAAAAGACTGCTTCGGCTCGGCGCCTGTGGCTCAAGCGGCTAAGGCGCCAGCCACATACACCTAAGGTGGCGGGTTCGAATCCCCAGCCCGGGCCCGCCAAACAACAATGATGGCTGCAACCAAAAAATGGCCAGGCGTTGTGGCGGGCGCCTGGGGCCCAGCTGCTTGGGAGGCTGAGGCAGGAGACTCGCTTGAGCCCAGGAGTTGGAGGTTGCTGTGAGCATGATGCCATGGCACTCTACCCAGGGGGATAGCTTGAGGCTCTGTCAAAAAAAAAAAAAAAAAAAAAAGACTGCTTCAACAACGTATCACCTTGCATTGGTTATCAAAAATCCGGAGTGCTCAGTGTAGGGTGATAAGAAACACAGATAGCATCACAAGAGAAATTTGACACAACTAACTAATATTGTGAGTTGTCTACCAAGAACACAATTACTTATTTCATAATCCAAAAATAAAAAAGTGCAGTTATTTGGTATGTTATGCATCTTTTGGAAAATTGAAAATATTTTCATACCTTTGTTCATATCAATGAGTTGTTTCTTTTTCTTTTGGCGTTCCAGCTTCTCTTGTTCAGCTTTCTCTTTTGCAAGCTTAGCCCTCCTAGTCTTCTCTTCCATTTCTCTTCTCTTATTATTTTCTTTCAGTGCTTCCTGTACATATAAGCAAAGTCAAACAAAAAATATTTCCATTACTTATATAATGAAGAAGTTGCACAGTTTTAAAATTACACAAATATGCAGAGATGAGAGGTATTACAGCAGCCTCAAGGTGTATGCATATACTTTTTTTTTGCAGATTTAGCCAGGGCTGGGTTTGAACCTGCCACCTCGGGCTGGTAGCCCACCCCTTTGAGCCACAAGCACCGCCCATAAGCATATACTTTTGAAAGAGGCAAATAATCTTAAGACATCTCTTCTGGAAAAAAAGTTTAGCTATAACTCAGTCTTCAATTGCCTGATATGACAGAAAATTAGGGACATCAATGTTATAGATTTAATAGTATATAATTTCTCCACTATTGAAATAGTTTTGATACACAAGAAAAGGCTTAATATGGAAATATGGCTAAGCAAGTATTTTACCCCTTTATTATGTATTATTTGTTATTTGCAAAATTGAGAATAAAGAAAATTGCCTCATAGGATTTTTGTGAGGAAAAATGAGATACATATGTAAAGTGCTTAGAACACAATCTGATATAATCAAGAAATTTTACTCTATGATAGTGATGGGGGAGGTTGTGGTCCTGGTGGCAATGATTCCATCTAATGATGCATGGCATGAAACAATCAGAAATATTATCACAGAAAAGACATACCTTCAAGGTTAATAGCTTTTTACATGCCAAGATATTTAGAAATGCTGACACATATTTCAAGCTACTGTCTATTTTATTTTACATAGACTATTTGTGAAACTCAAGTGAGTATATACCAGTAGATGGTATTACAGAAAGTTGAATTGAAGTTATCATCTGGAATAAGGATATCAACTTCCTTTGAGTTCAGACATGTCACTAATGCAGACACATATCAAGTGCTAGTTCCTTCCATCAAGTTGCTCTGTTCTTTTCCTAATATGATTGATTAGATATACTTCACATCATGTACAAACTATTTCACAAAAACTATCTTATTCCAGAAAGCCTAAAGAAAATGACTCAGTAACAAGGATACATCTACAAGGCTTTGCTTGGATGAGTTTATATTGAAATATCTTTTTCTTCATGTTAAAACACACAATTGTTTAAAGTAACCCTGAAAATACTTTCAGAAATCTCTTGACTTGCAAGAATTGACTTCCTCCTACAAAATCTAAATGATTTAATCTTCATTGGTACCTCCACTTTCTGCTGTCTTTGTTAGGCTAATAGCCTTAGCAATAGGCTAAGAACACAAAACTACCTTGCTACTACAGACAAACTCAGACTGGCATAGTAGAATCATAATTTTAGAGACGGGTTTCTCAATCTCAGCACTAGTATCATTTGGGGCTAGATACTCATTGTTTTGGATGCTGTCCTATGCACTGTGGGATGTTTAACAGCATCCCTGGCCTCTACCCACTAGATACTAGTAGCATCCCCCTTCCCAGTTGTGACAATGGAAAAAATATCTCCAGAGATTGCCAAGTATTTCTTGGAGGGCAAAATTACCCTGGGTTAAGAACTACTAACTTGGGGGAGGGGGTTCATAAAGATAATTTATTCACAAAATATTACATAATATCTACTCTGTTAAACCAGGCTTTCTTTCACAGATGTGAAAATTGAGTTCTGAATAAGTTTAAATACTTGCCTAAGGTCAGAACTATAAGGTTGGAAAGAGAAGCCATGTCTTTTCACTCCTGGTATAGGAAGAAAAGACAATGTGGATGTGATACCAGAAGCATGAGCAACAACAAAAAATAGATGAATAAGACTTCATCAAAAATTAAACACTTATTGATCAAAAAACATTGTCAAACAAGTGAAGAGACCTACAGAATGGGAGAAAATATTTGCAAATCATACATCTGCTATGAATATATAAAGAACTTTTACAACTCAACAATAAAAAGACAACACAATTAAAATGGACTCAAGTTTTGAATAGATATTTTTTCCAAAGAAGGTAAACATATGACCAATAAGGATATGAAAAGATGTTTAACATCATTAATCATTAGGGAAATGCAAATCAAAAACACTTCACACCC